CAAACCAGTGGGGACTACTTGCACCGCTCCATGTGAGCCACACTGCTGGGGACCCCACAGTGCCACTTCCCATTTGGGCTCATATTGCCACATCAGGAGGTGACGTCACACCATCCTGTCCCAAAAGGGGAACTGGCAGCAGCTCAGCGCCACTCCCTGTCCCCAATGCAATTTCTCTGTCCCCAAGCTGCTCCTGCCTCATGGCAACAATGGCACTGGCCCTCATCCTGGGTGAGTGACAATGGGGATGTGGTGCCACGGGGGTTGGTGACCCTGTGTGAGACCAGGACCATGTCCCTTGCAGGTTGGTGGCTGGTGGCAGTGAGCAGGGCACAGCAGTGTGAGTATGGGGACAGGGGGAGAATGGGGAGAGAAGGAGGGGAGCGTGGTCAGGGGGCCGTGAGAGGGGCAGAGGAGGGTGTGCAGGGACAAGGCTGACTGCTGTCCCCTGTCCTAGTGCCCCGACCCTCCCTGTCGCTGCACCCCAGCCACGGGGTGTCCCTGGGGAACAACGCCACCCTGCAGTGCCATCTGACCCAATTGGGTGTGTGGGTCTGGCTGTACCAGGAAGGAGGTTGGACATACAACAAGTACAATAACAAGGAGCAGGACACGACTGATTTCTGCTTCTTCAGCACAAATTGGCAGCACGCAGGTACATATCGGTGTCAGTACCGAGTGCCTTGGTCAGGAATGGTATCCGAGAGAAGTGACCCTGTGGAGCTGGTGCTGACAGGTGAGGGCACTGGGGACAGCAGATGGCACTGGGTGCTCCCAACAGGACCGTGTCCCACTGCTGTCCCTTCCCTCATGCAGATCACAGTTTCCCCCCACCCAGAATTTCCCTGAGCCCTGAGGAATGTGTGGAGATGGGGACCAATGTCACCATCCAGTGCTGGAATAGGGACTATGGGGCCGCCTTCCTCCTGCACAAGGATGGGTGCTCAGCCCCCATCCAACGCCAGGACTCCAATGTGGTGGGCACAGCCACCTTCACCATCTCTGGGGTGACCCCAGCTGACAGCGGCACCTACAGGTGCTCCTACCGCCCCTCGGGTTACCCCTTTCTGTCCTCACCCCTTGGGAGTAACGTGACTCTGGAGGTGACACCCACAGCTGCATCCCCAGGTGGGTCTCAACCTCATTTGAATACCCCTGGTGCCACCCATGAGTGGCTGTGTCACCTCCTGTCCCTATAGAGGCTATGGTTGAGGATGTGATAACCCAAACACCCGGATCCCACAGGTGCTGCAGACAGTTCCCATGGGGACCTGGTGGTGGCAGTGGCTGGGGGCTGCACTGCTGCCTTTGTCTTCATACTCGTCCTTGTCATCTTCTTCCTCCTTGCTGGCTGCAGACGTTGGATACGGAGAGATGAGAGCCCTGGTGGGGAAGGGCTTGAACATCTTTATTTCTCAGTTGATCCTCTCAAAGTCTCCACAGCCCCCCCAATAGCCCCATCCCATTCTCCTCCTTGTTTTGATGCAGGCAACCCTGCAGAAAAGCCTGAGGACATAGAGTTCCAGGTAAGTGTCCAGGTCAGGGAACCCCAAACTCCGGCCTGACCCTTGGAACAACTCCTGATCCCATTCACAGCCCCAAACCCTGTCCATGGGGACCCCAGGAGATCCACAGCCTCATATGGTTTGCCTCAATGTTAAGGACAGCCCCCAAACGCAGACCATGAGGAACTCCAAATCCGCATTGTGGAGACACCCAGATCT